AGAGGTGAAGGATATTGCGACCAAAATTCGAATACGGAGGTACATTGTGGTGAGGAATCTTCCTGTGTTTGCCAAAAAATTCCATTCCGGCTGCTTTCTCCAGAATCGCAAAAATCGAGGGTGACCTTATTATTATGAAACGCATTGTAGTATGTTCACTTTCATGTTATGGTGTGTTAGTATGGATATGTGAGCGCGTCCACTGCAAATAAATAGCCAAATAAATAAATAAACAAGTGGCGGGGACAGTGCAGTCAAAGGGCACCTTATCACGCGCATGGTCTAAGGATCGAATGTCTGATCGATACTCACTCGGGCGAACCAAACCCTCCATCCTTTCAGGGTTGGTTGATTGGTACCAGAGCATTTGGGAGACTAAAAGCATTCACATGTACACCGGTGGCCACCGCAAGTCATTGTATAGGCCACTACGTACACATCAGGCCACTACGATTCTGAGTGAAATTCTAGTGTGGGGCGCATTCCAAAAACGAGATTGATCAACGTCATGAATTTTATTCTTTATTCTGGACATGCTCATCGAGGGGAAGAAAAAAATACAGTAGGCAAAGTCTCGTGCTCCATGCACTTCATATTCATCGGAAAGTTAAAGCTCATGCCTCTTTCATAAGAAAAATTATTGGAAAACTGCTTGTTATTCTGTGATAAGTCATGTCCACCCTGTCTTTAAGTTATATGTTCAAGAAAAAATACTTGATAGGTTGAGCAATTTCCCATTATTTTGATTTATTCCAGTCATAGGCATGGGAAAATCTTCGTGACGTAGGTGAAAACCTCAAAGAAAAATCCAGTGAACCGCGTGACTGGTCAGCCTTCTGGTTCGCACTCCCTCCTATCCCGCTGCTCTTTGAAAGTCATTATCGCTTGTTATCACCTATATTATTCAGCATCTACACCGATCAGTTCCTCTAGTTTGTTGAGAATTCAGATGTAGTCTGTTATTCGCGGATGATATCAAATTTATAAAGCAGGTTCATCTATCCCTGCTGCTAACGTAATTCAAACTGCAATTGATGTCTTGAGTGTTTGGTCAGAAAAATGGGAACTTCCATGGCTCATGAGGAAACCTTGTTTTTCAACTTGGGTCGGAACATGCACCCTTCCAGACTGCATAAGAGATTTTGTATTTAATAGAATTCGAGAGGTCGGAAACGTCATTCGTCAGGATTCGTCATTGATCATAAATTGACATTCGATTCGCGTTGCTCCTTTATAGTAAAGACGACTGTTTTAAGCCCAGTTCTAGAGTATGAAACAATGGTTTCCTCCGGGTGATTTTTCTAATGTTCTTTTCTCAAAAGAAAAACATTAGGTAGATCGAATCTGTACGAAATAATTTCACGTCAAAAACTTTTGGACGTGCACTTAGATTTACCCACAATGCAATACCAAGTGGTGGGGTTAGGAATGAAATCTTGGGATTGGAATAGTTACATATCGTTCAGGCGAAAGATGTTGGATCTTATAACTACGAAATCCTCTTAAGAAGATTAAATAATCAATTTCACAAATTCTTTCAAATTCGGCGTTGAAATTCTAGAGGAGATGAATTTATGTTATCATTTCCTCGACCGCGAACCAGTATCAAGGCCTGGTTCGGGCCACAGCTTCTTCTTCTGATTTTCTCGAAAGATTCTCTAAGAAGGTTGCTCACCTAGATGTGTAGTTCATGTTAAACAGATCTTGCATCGTTATCTTAAATAAGAGGCGAATGTTAAAGCCTATGAATTTATCTGATCATTCTTTTCTGCTGTTAGTTCATTTTTGCTTCCTCATTACTGTTCTTTTTAGTATTTTTCAATAGCTCTTCAATGGTTAATCACGTACGTGTTGCCGGTTGCTTTTTGTTACTTGAATGGTTGTTCATTTGTTTCATTCTTAATTAATTCGCAGTGAAGTTCTAATGTTCTGAAGATCACTTCGTCACTGGGAACCTATTTAGCTACTTCGCTTTGATATTCATTTTTTGCAGCAACTAAACGAGCTTCACTTCACTTCAAAGTTTTTGCGTTCGTAATGGACACCTCCAACAAGACAAATTCTATGGCTCGCTTCATTCACCAGTCTTGTGGCTCTTCTGACAACTACCTGTTTGCCCTAACAACCTGATGTATAGGCATACAGTATCTGGCGAAAAGCCGTTGGGATACCCTGAGTTCTCAAAGAGGTTCTCGTGAAAAGCGTAATGATTTCAAAGACGTTTTATGTCTTGCTCACGCAAAAGTGGAAGAAATTCAGAGTTAATGATGCATTTAAATCTTGACAAAATCCCATAAACTCTACCAGATTTTTGCCTTCTTCTTTTCTATTTCTTCATTTAATGGGAAGTTGTTTGCGACCAGTGACTATGTATGATCTTTTTGATGAGTATTATCACTTAGCACACTCTTCACCCTGGTGGCAAACCCATTTGTACCATCTACCAATTCCCTCTTCCGACTGAGGTTAAATTTTCCCGTGGCAGAGATGGAGGCTTCAAGTAAATACTACTTGAAGAATTTTTAGAAAACAGATTTTCTCCCTGAATACTTCAAAAAAAAAACAGCTGAAAGTAGGGGAAGAACTCAGAACGCTTTCTTAAATAACATGCGAA